TCCCGTTGCGTGATTCCCCCACCCCAGCCCCACTATGCTACTGGGCTGACTCGGTACTTCTCTGGCTTTCATTAGTGCATTTTTGTTCTCCCATAGACCGGGGTAATGACAACTGGCTGATCAAGTATGATTGCCCCTTGGATAGCACAAGCATGCGGGTAAGTGGGGCAAAGAGCCCCTAGCTGGTCTGGTAATATGAAATGAGACCTGTATTTAAAATACTTCTAACCTGCCTGTCTCTACAAAATGGTAAACAAGGCGGCTCATAATATATTTATTTATTTATTATTTTATTTATTTTTGGGATTTATATCCCGCCCCATCCAATATTCAGCTCGGGGCGGCTAACAGGCGGCTATGCCGAGATTAAAATATACATACAACAACATAGTAAAAACAAATATCTAACATAAAAATTTGGTGCTCTCATAATTTACATACAATCCAAGATGGACGACATCCCAAACTGGCGGCCAAGTTATTCACAGCAGAAGCGCCAGGAAGAGTGTTTCCCCAGCTCTATTGGGCGACATCTGCCCCTACTATGTGGGGCAGATGGTTGTAACATCATTGGTGGAATAATGGCGGCGGCGGCTCCCCCTCAAAGGCCTGGTGGAAGAGCTCCGTCTTGCAGGCCCAACGGAACTGCACTAGGTCCCGCAGGGCCCGAGTCTCTTCCGGGAGCTCATTCCACCAGGTGGGAGCCACCACCGAAAACGCCCTAGCCCTGGTTTGGGACACCTTTACTTCCCGGGGGCCTGGGATCTCCAGGCGATGGAAATTCCCCGACCTCAGTGCTCTTGGGGGAACGTACGGGGAGAGGCGGTCCCTTGAGTAGGCCGGACCCTGACAATAGCCAATTAAAATCTTTCAAACAGCAGTCTCTAAAAATGACTCCAACCCGATACATATGCTGAAAGAAGAGCCTGCAAAAGAGACAGTGTCCAGGAATAAAGCAGATGAAACTAAAGAAGCCAGCATTACAGATCTGCAGAGCTATAATAAAGGCATAAGTAAACAGGTGGGATAGTCAAAAGCCAGTGTAGGTGATCTGAAATGCTTTGGAGAAAGCTTAGCAAAGATGTGAACTTGGTGCCAGGTGATTCTGTATAGTGAGTGAGTTCCACAGTACAAGCTTCACTACTAGAGTTGCCAACTGCCTGAAGAAAAAAAAAGATAATCCTTAATAGGATGTTATTTATCTGATGTCGTGGAAAAAAATCAACTGTTCATTTCCTCACATTAAGCCTCTGTTAAAGGGAAAGGCACTTGTCTCCAGACCTACTAGTGTGAAATGGTGCTTGGCCTCTGTTTTGCTTTTGGATAAAAGAGAATTGAAGTAGGGCTAGGAGTAGAGGTGCCAACAATCCTGGAGAAAAATGTCCTGTCCTTTTAATAGAGTGTGGAGATGGACAGCTGAAGCTTTTCATGGCAATTTTCATTAAGAGGATGGGGAATCTTTTTTTCTTCAGACAGTTGGCAGTCCTAGGTAGGATAGAGCTCCTGGTGGGATGGATGATGGCCATTGTTATTGGCTTTGGTGAGAATAGTTCTGGGACTGCCCTCCAAGTGAATGTGGAGTGGTTGCTGGGTGTAGCATCTCTCTCTGGCTCAGTGTTCTTTCCTTTCCCTGCAGGACTCAGAATGGGTAGTGGTGAAGGAGCCGATCATTAAACTGGCTGCCATTGATAATGGCCTGGCTTTCCCCCTCAAGCATCCAGACTCTTGGCGAGCCTGTAAGTACTTCCATGTGGGCTCATTAAAAGTATTTCTGGCTTGTGTTGGGTGTTCTTCAAGGTCTCACCACCCGCTGTCTCCATTTGGAGAGCATAATGTTAAGGCCTTGAGGGTATAGGCTTGATGTATCTCCTGTATCTCAGAGGATGTTAGGGTAGTGATTGGCTGGGCTTGTGGGTCTCTAACTCTGTTTTCTCCCTTTCCTGAAGACCCTTTTTATTGGGCATGGCTACCACAGGCCAAGATGCCCTTCTCGCAGGAGATCAAGGACTTGATCCTGCCAAAGATTTCTGACCCTAATTTTGTTAAGGATCTGGAAGAAGATCTCTATGAACTTTTCAAGGTAAGCATAGGCTGCTGGGCAAGTAAATTGTCTGATTCTACTTCCTCTGCCCATGAGCAGGCATTTGTGCAGATATTGCATATACTCCTTCCCATAGAGAGGGAGGGAGGGGAGGGAGGGGTGCGACACCACACCCTAATTGGGTTTCTTCCTCTCTTGTCTTCCTTTTGTAGAAGGATCCTGGTTTTGACAGGGGCCAGTTTCACAAGCAGATTGCTGTCATGCGTGGCCAGGTATGTTACTTGTTCCCACTGGGGGGGGGGGTACTTGCTCTGGGTGATGTTGGGCTGTGTTGCACACTGTCTTTAAACCTGTATTTTCAGCTTGGGGCATCCCATGTTAGTAGTACCATGTTTTCCTTTTCTGTCTCCAGATCCTGAACTTGACACAGGCCTTGAAAGATGGGAAGAGCCCCCTTCATCTGGTCCAGATGCCCCCCGTCATTGTAGAAACTGCTCGCTCTCACCAGCGCTCAGCCAGTGAGTCGTACACGCAAAGCTTCCAGAGCCGCAAGCCTTTCTTTTCTTGGTGGTAGCAGCTGACATCCTGTTCACTGAGGAACTTGTGGGAGAGTGCCGCTTGACAGCGGGCAATCGACCCTCCAAACCAAGACAGCTGTGCTGCAGCCAGTGGGAGATGTACGCCGGAGTTCCCATCAGCCTTGACTCGGAACATTCCCAGCAGGAGTGGAGGGGGGTCTTCGTTAGACTGATTGCCAGTCCCTTCTCACTGTGGGTGGACATGCCTCCTTTCCCAGCCTGGGCTTGGCAGCCTCTCTGAGCAGGTGCCTGCATGCAGCACCCTTTGGCTCCTAGGTACTCCCTTCTTAAGTCCTTTGCCTGGGAAAGTTGGGGGCAAGGGGGAGCATCGTAGTTGGACGGAAGTGCTCTTGCTCTGTGTGAAACTGCCAGCCTTGATATTCCTTCCTCCCTTACTGTATCCTCTTGCTTACCTTGCCCAAGAAGGCAGGCGCCTCCTGCCCAGTTGGTCTTGCTCTGCTATCCTTGGCCCCCTACAGGTCCTGCTCCTAGTGTTATATGTATCAGTACTCTCCTGGGGCCATCTGTATGGAACAAGGCCATCGCCGGCTGCTACTGGAGGAATCCAGGTTGGGAGAGGGTCAAAGATTGGACCAGCGCCTCTTGTGACCGCTAAATGCTGGGGGCACAGGGCTACTGTAAGTGAACCTGCAGGTGGGACAGCCACTGCTGTGCTTCGCTTCCTCCATACAACAGAGACTCAATGCCTCACCAGTAGATTTTAATTTAGTTTTAACTAATTCGCTCCATGTGCATACTCTCATGTGCTCCTAGAGCAAGTGAGAGGGAGGCTTATCTAATCTTTCATACCCACCAGCTGTGGTCCCTAGAGTAATTTTAATAGCTAGCTCTCCCCTTTAGACAAGTAGGGGCTGGGGGTGGGTGTAAGAGAAAGAAAGACCAGTTCATTGCCTGAGGCTGCTTTCTCAATTCCTGTGGGTTGGGGAAGAGGAAAATACCTTCCACAGCCTAGGTTTGAGCGTTGACAATCGTGGGAAAGATGCTCTGCCCCAGGACCAGCTGATGGTCTGAGGTTAAGATCACTGCTATCTTGAGACTGTGCCAGGTGTATAACTGAATGATACTATGAATGCTGCTTTTCTATAGGCTACTGTGCTAAAGCCATGGCAACAGAAACTTCCCCCTAGAAACTGTCAATATAAGCATCCTGGCTTCTCCGTGGGTGCGGCTCCCTGAGCTGTAGCCCAGGACTGCTAGGAGAGGCCATGTGCCAAGTTGAGCCCAGCTCCCTTCCTCTTCTGAGCAGAGGGGCTGGTACCCTGTGGGTGGGGGTCTGCCATTTTCCTCATGGTCTTGGCCCGAAGTGTAGGCTTCCTGCCCTCAGTGCCAGGCTGAAGCTACTGCACTTTGCACTAGGTGATACTTTTCATTCTGTCAGCCTGAACCGAAATGTATCATTCTTATGCACTATAGAAATGTATGTAATATATTTAAATCAATGCAAATATCTTCATAACAGGTCTGCAGTTGCAGCAGTGGTCTCCTGTGTGCATTATGTCTGAGTTAGTATGGACTGAATCTCTTTGCTTCCCATTATTTCTCTCCCAGCGGCTAGTCATCAATGTTTCTCTCTACAGTCCTGGCCACCTGCTTCCTATTCAGGTTGAATTCTTCTGTTGTAGCCTATCATATGTCCTCCTATAGAAAATCTCTCTGCCACCCGCCACCCCCACCCCCGTTTGTTGCTGTATATATTGTCAAGTATGTTAGGGGGATCTGTCCTGTCTTATGGGCCTCTTACTACAATGTAAACTGCCTCCTGTTCCTTTCACAGCAATGAAAGTAAACCACACATCAAACTAGTCATTGGTTTAGATAGCTCTGGTTGAAAGTCACCCTCAGTTCCCAATTCTGGTGCAGGCTACCCTGGACACCATTCCTTCTGTGGCTAGACAGGTCAGCCAGGGTCATTCAACTGCAGCAAACCTCTTTCTCTGGCAGTAGAGGTGTGTGCACAAGGCAGTTCTCAGTATTCATTTAGCCTTGTGCTATTAAATACTGTCCTTCCTGAAGGGTGCATTTACATTCTGTGTAAGGATAATGACATAATTTCTTCCCCTTTGCCCTATAACCACCAGCAGTCAGTCACTGGGCTGGAATTGTAGGATGCAGGCGTCCTCCTTTCAATTTTCTGGTCCTATTGGCTTCAGTAGGGCAACGCTTCCCACACTGCCAACAGTTACTTCAGATGCCACCAGATTTCATGGTAGGAAATGAAGGAATGACCTCCTTACTATAAGGCCAGGAAGAACCCAGCTTACAGTGAAACTCACTGCCCCGTTTGGGCCTCTAGCCTTTCCCCAGTACATGAGTAGCCAGTCATTGCAAAAGGAATATGTATAAGCATTTATTAAGTACAGGCAAGTGTATCTAGTACATTTAGTGTTTGTGCTCTGCCAAACCAAGGGCACTGCCCTGCAGCAGCTGAGAAAGTGTTGATGGTTTCAGGTTGAGGTCATGATCCCCTAAACTTGGGGTAAATTTTTTTCTTTGAGAGGTGTGCAGAATTGCCCTTAGGCATCCTCTGTCTCAGACTGTTCCTGTTCCGCACAGTGCCATAGACTGACAACTGTGTTGGCAAGAAGGGTTGGGTTCTGCTGCTCACTGGTGGAGCTGGTGCAGATAGCCTGCAGCTCCTGTGCCCCTTCTCTTCTGCTTGTAGTAGGAGGCAGGGCACGAGCTAGTTTGACCAGCCACATCTGGTGGCTTGCTGCTGTTGGGCCCATTGTCCTCAGTATAAGATGTAGTACAGTCTTCAATCCTGTAGGACAGCAAAAGAGCCTATTAGGAATTGGAGAAGCTGACAAAGATTAATGTGTACAGTGGAAAACAGCTGCCATGCCAGCTCTACATAAATGAGGAAGTTCACAGGCGGGGCCTTTTCCTGGCCTCAAAATCTTCTTTTTCCTCGGAGTTTCAAGTGTGTGTGCTGATGATCAAGCAGGGAAAGTATAAACTGCTTTCAAGAAGCTACATTTTTTACAAAGGAGGATTAAATTCTGCGTACAAGACCAGCTCTAGCACATGCTACCACTGACATTTACACAGTACACATGCCAAAGTAGTGGTAACCACAGTTGATGGGTGGCAGCATTCTGACTGGTAGACTGTGGAATGCATTTACAAGGTTAGTCTAGAGGAGCTTGTGGAATATGTATCAGGGGAAAAATAGAGGGAAGCATTAAGTTAGAGGGGCATGATATGATTCAGAGGATGAGGAGCAGGGACTGAGGCATGAATCTGGTTTGGTGTGGGGGAACATGATAGAAGGGATGGACCAGCAGCTTCCTGGGAAGCCGTGGAGGATAATGAATATGGAGACTATACCGTAAGCGGCTAAAGTGCTGTAACTCCAGGAATCCACTGCCACTTCCTGACTCCGAAGGGGACTTCTGGTGGGGCCGCAGCCTCAGTTTTCTCTGCTTTCTGCGCAGCCGTCGCAAGGCCTGGGCAATACACCTGTTCCCTGCACGCTCCCACACCAGCTGGGCCCGCTCCTCTGCTTGTGTATCCCCACTGCTGTGGAAGAGACGGTGCAGCTGCAGCAGCCCAACTCCCTGGAAGATGTTGGCAGATGCTGTTTTGCGAGTGTAAGACTTGGGTGTCTGGGGGTGGGGCAAGTCACAAGCAATGGAGGCAGGAGTGCCCATGTGGTTCGGGTCTCTCCACCCTGTGTCTGGAGGTGATTCTGTGAAAAGATATGAGGGAAAAGGATGACGCAGCAGCATTAATGGCTCTTGGCAGCTTTTGTTTTCTCTTCCTGCCTTCATGTGTTTCCTCCTTAGCATGTCTTTGCAACTAGATCCTTTCACAATAATGCTCTGGAGCACCTACATTGTCTGCCCTCTAAGTCATCCATGTCTGCCTCCCTTCCTCAAGAGACAGTTCAGAAAGAGAGCTACGGCTGCTGCCGCCCCCTTTCAGCCATTCCCTTATGGCACTGGATGCGGTGTCCTCCTGGAAGAGATCATTAACTTTCTCTGCTGTCACCCAGATGCCACTGTAAAAACCATCTAGTGCCATGTGAATGACAGGTCAGTTCTTGCAGGCGACAGCTGTGCTCAAGCAGCAGAAGGAAGGAGCTGCAGGAAAACAGCTCCAGGTGATCCGCACGCCCACAGATTCCATCAGCATTGGGAAGCAGGCCAAAGGTGGGGCCCTCTAAGTTTCCACATTCTTGCAATCGTTGATGGTACTGGGACCATCCTCTCAACAATTGTTCATGTTCTGGCACCTCTTATTTGACAACACTGCCATAGCAGTTATTTCCCTGGGGGGAAAACCCAGTTCTTCAGTGGCCCCTACAAGACAGCACAGGATATAAGTAAAATAAAAAATAAAAAAGACAGTACAGTAGGTAGCTCAAGAAACGACTCCTTCTACCCCTCCCAGTCCAGAATGGATGCTTGTTTGGCAGTCTGATCCCAGTAGGCTAGCTACTTTGGTGCCTAGCCAGGAACTGTAAGGGCACCGCCCAGGTGCTTTGTTCATTGGCTCATTCCAAAAATGGCCTTCAATATAGAAGAAGAGATTGGATTTATACCCCGCCCTTCACTTGGAGTCTCAAAGTGGTTTATAATCTCCTTTCCCTCCCCACAACAGATACCCTGTGAGGTAGGTGGGGCTGAGAGAGCTCTTTCGAGGTCTGAAATAACTTGTGGCTGACCCAAGAACACACCAGCAGCTGCATGTGGAGGAGCAGAGAATCAAATCCAGTTCTCCCAGATTAGAGTTCGGGCTCTTAACCACTACACCAAACTGGCTCTCAGTCTTTCAGATTTCACACAGGTCTGGGGATCTGTGAGCAGATCCTCAACATTTAATTTAACTGAAAAGCAGCTGCAAGGGAAGACTGATCTGGATTTGAGCTGTGGTGCTGGGGAAGGGAAGGGTTAACTCATCCCCATGGTATTTGCCCACTTTAACGTCCTTCTCACTAGATTAATGTAAATATGTGTAGGGTAAAAGAAAAAAGTAGAATTTCTTTTTCATTGCTGTGGGGACAGAGCATAGGAGCTCAGGACAATGTATATATGCTCTCTCATTTTGTCCCCATCACAGTCCTGGGAATGCCCGGTGCCAGTACCTGCACAGCAAGCACTGAGACAACTGCAGGTTGAAACTGAGGTCTGGACTACAGCTTGGGAAGGGGCTAGGGTTCAAATCTCCACTCTGTCACAAAACATGTTGGGTGACTTTTGGGCTAGTCCTTCTCTCTCGGCCTAGCCTACTTCGCAGGGTGGTACAGACCTTAAAATAGGTAACTCCTTAGGAACGCCGCTCCCTGAACAGTAATAGGAATGCACGCTCTGCTCTGACGCTCACCGAGTGGTTTTGGGTGAAAGTGTCTTCGCTTAACATGCAACGCAGGACCGGTGTTCTGACCTTGGGGAAAGGGCACGCTATCAAAGTCGCATATTGCCCCCCCCCGGTGGGGGGAGTTAAACTGCCCTCTTCTGAACTAGCCAGCATATTCTAAACCCACCCCCTCTTCCGTTTTCTCGCTGGGTTCCAGAATCCTTTCCAAGGAGGGCAGAGGCTAGAGCAACTGCCTAGACCCCAGGTGGACTCAGGCACTCACAAACCTGGCGACCGCTGCTGAGTCTGGGACCGCGGCTCGCTCGAAGAGTCCTTGAGCCCCGCCACGGTGGATTCTGTCAAGCGCTTTTGCGGGTCTCTTCCCAAACCTATTCCGGTCGTTCCCGGGCTCCTCTTCCTCCATTGAACAGAGCGGACAACGCAGGCTTCCTGGCTTCAGCCAATCAGCTTCTCCAGCTCCTTGAGTCCTGCCTTCTGAATCCGATTTCCCAAGACAACTGACTACCCAATCCGATGAAGGAAGGGTGGGACTCCAGTGTCCCTTGTGGGAACGCGTGGCAGGCTATGTTATTGACGTCAGCGAGGAGTTGGCCTCCGAGGAGGAGGAGGAGGAGGGGCGGAGCTTCAGTGTTTGGTTTCCGCCTCTGTCTAGGAATGGAGAACGGGGGGGGAGGGGTCATGCCTGCCTTGCAGCGAGAGACTGTCGCCTTGTTCTGAGGCAGCCCCGGGACAGATCTGACATGTTTTTGCAGATCAAACCCAAGCATTCAGTGCAAAGGACGGGGGATTTCTTTCCGCGTTCTCTGTCCGCCCCCGCTTGTCTGCCTATTCTGTATATTTATTCGATAATAATATGCGTAGTTTGGATTTACTGATGACAAGTACTTCCCCAGTTTAGGGGGTTAGCGCCTAGCAGATGGCTCACTGCCAACCTCTTGGAACGTGAGGTCTGCTGCTAGCGAGAAGGCTCACTGGCAAGCCTGACCCCACGCCTGGTTTTCCAGACTCGCTTAGTGGTGCGAGGTCTTTCTGGTAACGCAGCAAACGATTTTGAGAGACAGCCCGCTTCACTTTTGAAGCCGGGGGTCCCCAACGTGGTGCCCGTGGGCACCTTTCCTGGTCCCCGCCAAATGTTTTTCGGAAGTGGGTGGGGCTTTTGCCTAGAAAGGCTTCTTATTGGCCATTGGAGATTTGATTGGCTGCACGGATATGTAAAAATGTTGCTTTGGTAGCAGCTGCCATCACTGCACAAGGATCTTCACTGTGTAACTGAAGGTAAGCTGCAGCAGCCCTGGCTCTGCCTCCTGTGGCAGCCATTTTGTGACTGCACCCACCCTGCTGTGCCAAAATTCCAAAAGTGCCCACAGGCTGAAGAAGGTTGGAAACCCCTGCTCTAAGCAGTCACAGCTGGACAAGTGTGCAAAAGGGTCGTCGATCTGGACGGAAGGCAATGCTGTCCAGTCAGCTCCTGAGTGCTGGGGAGCCAAAAAAATCAGATGGAACACACCAAACCCACCAGCATAAATGCCTGCTGTTGTGTTCTCTGGGAAAAGTAAGCACTAGATTTGCCCTTAATATTCAGGAAGATGCAAGAGACAGGCATTTGACATTAGATAAAATGGAGACCAATGCTGTTTATTTTAATTTTACATATTTTCAGGGAAAGAAAGAGATAGCCACGTGACTTTCCTAGAACTGGCTCCGCAGAATATCCTAGAATATCCACAGAATATTCTAGAATACAATAATGGCCAAATTACAAGGAATTTATATTTTTTTCACTGCCAGACTTTAAGTGGGGTGGTTCTGATGGAAGGAAATTGCCCCCTCCCTCAGCTCATTCTCCAGAGTTGCTTTTCTGGAGATGCAGCCATGTGTAATTTGTTATTTTTCTTCCCCAATCTAATTTTGGAGTTTAAAACATTTACAGTGAGAGCACCCCGTGACTTGAGTGAATGCCTGAAGTGTAGCATGTAGACGGGTCATTTCGTAGAAAAAGAGTTGCAGGAACTCATTAGCATAACTCATTAGCATAACTTATTTGCATATGCCACACCCCCTGACATCACCGAAAGTGTGTCAGAAGGCAACACCCACCGCTCAGGCTCCACTGCACTGTTTTGGATTGCTAGCTAGGCGGGGGGGGACGCGCAGATCTGTCCTCACAGAGGAGGGAGAGCTTGTACCTGAAGGCGGGCCGGGAAGGGGGGGGGCTCTGCAACTTACCTGGCTGTTTCTTGCTCCTCATGGCCCGACTGAGGGCTGCTGGGAACAGGAGGCGGGGCTTGTTGCATGTGCCCGCCCCCTGAGCTTCTTACTGCTGAAGCTCTGCTCCTGTGCGCTCCCGCAGGAAATGACCCCTGCATGTAGAATTACAACCAATCTCCAGGTTACAGATATCAGTTCCCCTGGAGAAAACGGCTGCTTTGGAAGGTGGACTTTGGCATTATATTCCACTGAGGTCCTTCTCTTCCCCAAATCCTGCCTTTCCTAGGTTCAACCGACAAATATCCAGGAATTTCCTTACACAGAATTGGTAACCCTAAACATAAGGCCACCAGCCTGTGGCTGGCACCTGAGTCCATACCAACAGCTTTAGTCTTTCTATAACACACCCATTTCAAAGCAACCTTAATGCCCAACATAAATTAATTTCAGCTACTGACAAATTGTTGGCTGCTTATAGGGTGTTAAGGGCTGTGGTGGCTCAAGTGGTTAAGACGCTGAATTGCAGACCAGAAGGTCAGTAGTTCAGCAGTTCGAGACCCGAGCACCACATGACTGAGTGAGCTCCCGTCTTTGGTCCCAACTCCTGCCAACCTAGCAGTTTGAAAGCAAGAATCGCAAGTAGATAAATAGGTACTGCTTAGGTGGGAAGGTAACAGCGTTCCGTGTGCCTCGGTGTCTAGTCATGCTGGCCACATGACCATGGAAATGTCTTTGGACAGCACTGGCTCTTCGGCTTGGAAACAGAGATGAGCACCGCATCCCTAGAGTTGGATTTGACTGGCTTTTGAGCAAGGGAAACCTTTACCTTTACTATAGGGTGTTAAATACTGGGTTCAAGACACATTGCAGTGAACAGCTCTACTTTACTAAGTGATTTCAGGAACAAGAGTAAAACTCCAGCGCAACAGTCCTGTTTAAGTAGCATGCAAAACCCACACCCAAACACTCCCAACTGCATCAGAATATGTTGTATGACAAAAATTGCACACACAGGAAGTTCTTGTCAATCCTTGTTTATATGCTAAGTTTATACCTTTCAGTGGTGTTGAGGAATTAATTTATGAAACAGTTTATTTCTATAATCTCTCCATTATTCAGTGTAATGGATCTTTTAAAAAAATAATAATGAAACTATGAGAAACTGAGTCTTGTGTTAAGGTTAGAGGTTAGCTTTTTGTTGTTGTGAACAACTAGCATCACTCCCATATTCATTTATATACTACAACACTTTTGTCACAAGAAACTGTGAAGAAGTTAGGATTAAGTTTTGTGGTAGCAATAATTAGAAAAATGTGGTCATTACAACATGAAACCCTCAAGGCTGAAAAATGAGCCTGGCTTCTAAATTTTTGGGCTGGCTCCTCAAGCAAAAGGGAATTGGTCAAACCCCACTATAGGTAAGTTCATGGTCACTCACCTGGGACACAGGTGCTTTAGTGGGCTGACCATGCCAGATGATGAGCACTGTATCCTTAAAATACAAACACAAGTGTAGTTTTGTATCTTGTTTTGCTGTGCAGCTTTGTATGGGCAATTATCAAGTGGAATACTGATGGAAACTGGTCAGCTTTGGGATAAGGGCTTGAATTGCCCAGTGAACTGGCTGATAAAAGCCTGAAAGTATTTAGATGTGGCTCACAGCAGTTCAGAGGTTGGCTTTGGACAGTCTAAGGGAGCGCTGAAGGGAAATTTGAATGTATAAGCAGCAGATAAAGAAAAAAGCAGACACATTTCCAGTCTGCCAGTTATGTTTTATGTTAGGTCAAAAGTGTAAGGGGAAAAAAGCACAAATTACTTATTTCAACCCCTGCTCCTACACACTTCTTTAGAACATGCTACTCAGAATTGTGATAGTCAGGCCAAACCATATGAAGGATGTAGGGGAACTGACCAGGGGCAGAAGTACCAAATAGTTCATAACATACAGTGTCTGCTGAGAGAGACCACACCTGGGCCTCTTTCCATACATCAGGTTATGGCAGCATTCTGTGCCTGCAGGCCAACCTTTCTGTGCAAGCAGAGCTTAAGAGACAGACTGGCTGCTAGTAGTGATGGCGCAGAGAAAGTTCTAGTGCCAAAGAAGCCAGCTTTAAGGGATATTCTGAGAGTGTAAAATCTAAGCTGGGACTGCAGGGGCGTGGAGGAGGGATGGAACCAGTTATTAGCAAAAAGATGAAGAGAGAGAGAGAGAGAGCCGCCCAGAACAGAGGAGGGGCCAGGGGGACAAGGAGGGGCTGAGGCGGGAAGCTGAGAGGCCCCAGTGTAGGAAAGGCCATTAAGCTGCAGATGTTTGGCAGCTGCAGGCAAAGGAAGTGCCTGAGAAGGAGGGAGTGAGACTCCGCTGGGCTGCAGAAGGGATTGGAGGCCTGACTTGTGCTCTCCATAGACAGTATGCCTCTTCCACCACCTCCTTCCTCGCCTCCGCCACCTTACCCACACTCCAGAGAGTCTTTGAGCCTTAACTGGCCCTTCCTGCGAAGTCTGTTGGGAGTTTTGCGCATATTGCAGCTGGTGGCTGGTGCTGTTTGCTGGATTACTTTGGCAGCACACAAGTATGAAGGGGCGACCTACTTTGCGGTCTTTGCTGCAGTCCTCGTGTGGTTGCTCACCTTAGCTATCTTTGGGCTCAGCTTACTGGGCCGCTGGGCTCTGGTGCCAGGGCTGGGGAGCCGCTGGCTCATCACTAATATAGTGCACGATCTGCTGTTTGGGGTCATTCTCTTCTCTGCTGCTGCAGGCATCATGGTCCATAAGGCACAGGATGTCAGCTACTGCAACGTGAGTGCCTACAAGTTTCCCTGCAGTTACAGTGCCTACCTGAGTGCTGCCATCTTTGCAGGCATTGCTGCTGTCTTCTACCTGCTTTCAGGACTCTACTGCCTGGTACGCCGTTCCCGGGGGCACCATGACATCGTCTAAGAGATGCAAGAAGATAGATCGATACACAGGGATAGACACACTCTTCTTCAAACAGATGGACAAGCCTCACGCATGTATCATCCCCACAGTCAGATTGCTCCTTGCTCCAGACATGCCAGCTTGCCTTCAAGACATCAATAGACTTTCCCTATGGAGAATCTGACCCTGTCACCAGCAGAAGGATGTGGGCTTTTGTGACCCTGAACTGGAACTGGTATGCTCTTTAGCTGAAACCTGGGAGCCAGATTGTGGGCTCTCCTTCTTTCTCTTCCTCCTTCATGTGGCAGGTGGGACTTTCTGGGTTTGGGAGGGTTTTCTATGGCCAGGCTTGTGACATCAGTGAGTGCCACAGTGAGTCCTGGAAACTCATGATCATTCAACATGATTCTTAGTTCTTACAAGAGCAATTTTAGTTTAGCGTGTAGTCCTTCGCAATACGTATATATTTATGCCTTACACATAAGATCCCACTTTTATATTGAAACTAATTAAGTGAATTAATTGAATAATTGAATAATCATCTACTGGGATAATCCTCTGGTTTATTATTTTACAGCAAAACGGAATTTAGAGATCACCCACAAAGGCTTCCATGAAAAGTTTTTGTTTGCTCTGTCCCGTTCTGTTTTTAATCATATATTTATAAGTAATGGCTTTTAAAATTACGTCTGTATTTTGGATAGGACCTTGATGTGGATATTGTAGCCTTTCTGCCACAGCAACACACCTTCCAGGATTTTGTACACTCTAACCTGAAAGTCCTGCATTGTAACCCAGCTCTTGGGCTCTGCCTCTTCAGATATGAGGGAAATGCACTTTGTGTATGTTTAGACATGCCCTCTTTTTATTATTATGTCATATGTCCTAGAGATGATGCCAGAGAGGGGTTTCTGGACTGAGCGCTGGTAAACTTTCTCTCAAATTAAGCCGTGCTTCTGACCATGGACCATAACTGTTGCTTTCATTTTTTTCCTGTATTAGTTCATCTATCATTTCCCACAAAACCTCAGGGACCATTGCTTCATGGAAAAGGAAGCCAGCTCACAGGCTAATCAGTCATGGATAATAGGGAACAGTTGGAGCATTTGTTTGGGGGGGGGAGGGGGGTTGATGGGGACCATGCAGGAAAGAGGCCCCTTGTGGCAGGGAAGGAAGTGCTCATGGTCAGGGTTAGGATGAAGACCAGCCTGCCTCATATATGAGGACCCCCCACCCAAGCTGTCTGGGATGACCAGTCCCCATTGCGGGGGATCAGGACCTATTAAGGTAGATTTGCAACCTAATGCTTGACTCCTGGAGGTACCAAGATTACGCTCCCACATAAGAAGGTCCATTTCTACTGAGATAAGAGTAACATTTGAGAGCCAGTGTTTAAGTATTGGACCAGGATCTAGGAGACCCAGGTTCAAATCCCTGTTTTGCCATGGAAGTTTGCTGGATAACCTTGGGCCACTCAGACACTCTTAGCTTAGCTTACCTCACAAGGGTTGTTGTGAAGATAAAATGGAGGAGAGAAGAATGATGTAAGCCTCCTTGGGTCACCATTGGGGTCATAAATGAAGTAAATAGATGTAAGATTCAGACTGGGCTCTCAATTAGGGTAAAACAAGCTGTTGCGGCACTCTGTGCTGTGGCTATGCATTCTCCTACTCTCCTCATAATCTGGAAAAGCCTGTTCAATGTATTTTGCATCGAGCACTGAGATAATGTCCTCCGTAAGTAGGAGAACACATGGGATTTTGTGGCTCTAGGGCACCATGAAAATATAAGCTTTGAGCAAAAACAGGCAAGCAAGAACTGCAGTTGGGAGAGACCTGGGGGAAAATGTGATTGCTCTAGAAGCTGGCATTTGGTTACATCTTATGGAAACCCTCAGATAGGATAGGTATCCATACTGGGTGAATTTCTAAGCCTAGCCTAACAGAAAGATTAGACACACTGCTGCCTGGAACTACATTTCTGTATCATGTGAGAGAGTCAGAATTGATTTGTGTGCGACAGCAAACAATTCAAGCTGTGGTGTGTTCATGTTTCTGGACTGGCATACATTGGACTTTAACACTGCCTGCTCCTGAAGGAGGAGATGCCTCAGAAATACTGAAGTGCCAAGTAATGGATCCCCACAGACAACCCTTCTGCTGTGTGTCTAAGTCAAATTCATTTAGGAGCTGCTGAAACTGCCTTGTCCTAAGGCGCTACAATGAATGTGCCTTTTGTTCCAGTAGTTTTCAAATGGTGGGAATGGCTCATTTTTTTTGTTGGAGTCTTCCTCACCCAAACATGAGACTGTATTTCAGCAACAACTCACAAGCTGGTAAATGTAATTACTTAACCAGAGAAGCCGGGAACTCCCCCAGAAGTCCACCTCACCTGTCCTTCTGCTCAAGACACCAAACAATCCTGCTACAGCCACTGGACATTACTGACATTTTTCTGTTCTGCACATCAGCAAAAACACTGACCCTGTCTGTTTTCATCCTCCTTATGGTGTCCTGCCAAAGATATTTCTTAGAGTGGGGCATAGAAGAACTGCAGTCTGACAGTTGCTTTGAAAGGAAATCTACTCTTTCCCCTTGATCAGCCCAAGACAGATCCTATGGTCGGGGGAAGTGGCTTCTGCAGAAACCTGTGTCCAGAGGAGGCCCTTGATACCTTGCAGTCCCTGAGGTAAGAAAGCAGGATTCAGGAGGGGAAGGTGTGCCCTGTAAATCACGGGAGGAGGCAACTGGAAAATATGCCCAATTCTTAGGGGGCAGGGAGAATAATAGTACACTGTTACAATGTACTGTGCTCTGCTGAGTAAGTCACAAAAGCCCCAGGTACTTATTAGGATTTTAGTGAGATCAAGTGATGCACACAACCAGTTAGATGTACAGATAAAACTGGTTTATTAAACACAATAGCACACTCATCTAGCAATAGCAAATAATCAAGAAAAAGCATACAAACAGTATTTCTTCACACACAGGAATTCGTGGTACCAACTGAAAGTTATAAGGTGGCCAGCTGTTCATTTCAGAGGTAGAGACTATGCCTGGTCTTCCCAGGGATGGCATAGAGAAAGCATACACCCAAGCTTGTGACTAGCTTTGCTCTCACTTTGATGGAAAGCATGAAAACAAACTTGGTTTCTTGGGATGGTATCTCTCTGAGTGTCTCACTTCCTGGATTGCTCTGAGCTCCCATAGGCAAGATGGTTTTTATATATAGGACATGCTGTAGCCACATCTGTTCAAGACAAGCTTACTTTCATGCATGCATGTGAAGAAATGTCTTAAGCAAGATGTAGCAATTTCTTATCACTTGTGTTCCATCTTCCTTCGAACTGTCCTTGTATGTTGCTTCAAGTAGTAGTTTCTATTCTGATTAATACTTTGCATAAGATGTGCCCCCCCCTCCAGACTTTCATGCAGAGGGATGTCCAAGAATGACTGTCTAAACTTTGGCCAGTTTTAACCACAAATTGCTTAACTTAACTCTTGTTCCCAGATACTTATCAAAGGTTGTTCCAGTCAATGGCTCTGTGTAGTTTAGATGGGCTCTAGGGTGGGGGGACTTGAAGCCCTACATGTTAGGATTTCCATGTAACAGCCAGCAGGGCCCTGACATTGGCACGTGGTCCCTGTTGCTGGACCATCCCAAGTATGAAAGTTCCCTCTGAATAGGCAAATTAACATTTCCCGATGCAGACCAACATGGGATGGGAAGGAAACGATGGGACATTGTCATTCATCCAGAGCAGGACCTAGCTGTCACAGCAAGAGGGACTTGAAGGCACTGTCAGCCAAGGAAGTTTATTTGGGAGCCATTGCCAGTAAGAATGGTGGTAACCTATCTGAGGTGTCAGTGACTATCTTTTCCTTCCAGGTGGTAAGGAAGCTACGGAGTCATAAGCCTCACATATGCTGAATCCAGGACTTCATCTTGAGGGCACCCCCTCCACCTGGTACAGGAAGCCACTGAGAAGAACTGGGAGAGAGTGCAACTATGTTAGACTCTTGCCACCTTTTTTGTTTGGGGGAGGGACGTCAGGGGCTTTGCAGCTTCCCTGGAGCTTGCTGTGTGCCTCAACAGCAGTGTGGAGTAAATCTGAGCAATAAATGTGACATCAGTTTTTTGTTCCTCCTGCCACAGTGTGCTCCCAGTGTACTAACTGGGGAAAAGAAATCAGTGCTGCCATGGTGGAAGGAGAAGCACTCTGACATACGAGGCTGGCCAAGACATTTAAGGCTTTTCAGCCAATTCTTACTTCTCAACATTTCACACTTTGATTCTGACTCCTATTATCAGTTTCTATACAGGAATCTAATTTGAATATGGCTGTGTCCTAAAGGTTACATTCCAGACCCGTCTTCCCATTTTATAAGTAATATACGTTTTAATAAACTTTTGTGTGGAGCAATATCTTTGATCTGTCAAGTACAGAGTGACTGTGTTTTTCTTTTCATAATAAAACATTTCTTTAAAAATTCAGGGGCAGATTCCCCCCATAGCCCTGTAGATCCCAAATGTACATCTCAAAAAAGAACATACTATTTCTATATAGATCAGCAATCAGTCTTCTGAAAATGTCCAGAGGCCACACAGATATTCACAGAGTATGATAATGACAGCCGTCACCTATTACAAGGCCTACCAGGGGTGACACCCTCCTTGAAGTCTCCAATAGAAGAAAGAATCTGTTTCTCAAATCAAGGATGACTTGATTTTAATGAAGAGAAGCAACTAGTAAGTTGTTCCTATATATATTCTTCATATTCTTTGTCTGAAACTGTCACTAACTGATTTGGGTGGAGAAAGTACATTGCTCCTATCTCAGATATGTAGAGATTCCAAAGGAATGGGAGAGATCTGTCTTAAAGGGCCTTGAAACCAGCATTTCACTGCCACCAGACTACCTAATACCCACACAGTTAGGGAAACCCTCAAACAATCTGACAGTTTCCCACAACTTACATGCTAATAATTTATTCAGACATACTGATCTTCATTTATTTGTCATTCCATTTTAAGTAATTGGCAAAGCATTCCATTAGTGCTGGGTTGCTGCCACCACACGAGTCAAGACGTTCACAGGGTCCTTTGAAATTGGTATACAAGATGAGTACTGCAGACATTGGCTACTATGGTAGTCAGTCATGAGAGCAGGGGATGACATAGGCATCTGAATAGTTCAAATGCTGCATATTCTTTTTTTCTGTATGAAACATTTAGAACAGTTCTGTAGTCTGAAAGATGTTACTTTTTTAAAAATGTACCATTCGAATTATTTTCAGGACTATGATCTAGGAAAATCAGGACCACTGGTAAGTCTAAAAGGAGGAATAACCAATGCCCTCTCTCAGCTGTGGAGTCTTGTGAGCAAAAATTCAACTTTGTGAGCTCCTGGCATTAAAGATGTGAGCAAGTGATTTGGCAACTGCATAAATTAGTTTGCTCTGGAGCCATCCTTCCTGAGCTAAGACAAAAATGTGTGAGCCAGAGGCTAAAAAACTGAGCTAGCTCATACTAAGCTCAGTGGGAATACTGGGAATAACCCACATTCTAGGAGTACATATATACTGGGGCATGAGATTGACCAAGCAAAGAATGAAACTAGTACCCTGCAATTTGCCTAGTAGCAGCTCTGGTTTGATGTCTTTATTGATGGATATTCATTGTGCTTTCTCCAAGCAGTCCACACTGGCTCACACAGCAGCAACAGAAGTTCATGGCATGTGGCACAGTGTGGTCAGCTCAGGGCAACTATGAGATGGCTGAGAGACAGCATGAACCCAAGCTTTAAAGATCCTGAGATAATGTCTCCAAATTCTTTTCTGCCTCTCAGCCAGTTCTGGCATTTGACATTTCAGGCAGGAAGAACAGAGCAGCCTCTGAGCAAATGGGTGGAGAAAGGTCAGGTGCTAAACAGCATACAGCCCTGCTACTTCCTCAGCTAGCAGATGGCCGAGGAGCTGTGACATTGTGTATTAGGGGTAGATGGACATACTGAGAGATGAAGGTATTAGTTATTGCACCAACTTATTTTTGGAGAAGACCCTACGAGCATTTTGGTTTCAGAGAGCTCTTTTCAAGAATTAGAAATATGAATCCAAGCCATATTTTGAATCACATGCTGCAAATGTTTTAAGAAGAGTTTGCTATTAGGACTGTCTCCTGATAAAAGAAAGCAGGTAGTTCAGTCCTGTGATCTTGTTACATCAGCAGCCTGGTAAGCCTGTGACTTCCAAATGGCAAAGCAGAAAGCAAAATACCAGTCAAAACAAGGAGTTACATATCCATATGAATGGGCACCCCATAGCTCTATGGCTACCACTGCCCCATTCCGCCCCCAATCACAGCATTGCATACTGATAATGTTTTCATATTACCCACACATTAAAGGCATCAATCTATGCCTGGGGGCAGCAGAACCTTGTGACATCCTTCTCCCCATTACATTCTCAGTCTACGTGCACAGTGAGTCGATCAGGGAAAGACCATTGCCTAGAACCATTCCCTTGTGCAAGTCATTGCATAGTGGAAAAAGCAGGTAGTGCCAGCCGCACATCACCTACCATTCAGGTAAAAATTTGAATCCCTTGGTATCCAAATAATAGCAGCCTGCAAAAACCGCCTTTCCCCCTGGCAATAGGGTTGCCAACCTCCAGGTGGGGCCTGGGAATACCCCGCTTTTACAACTGGTCCCCAGCTGACAGAGATCAGTTCCCCTGGAGAAAATGGCTGCTTTGAAGGGTGGGTTCTATGGCACTGTGCCATGCTGAGGCCCCTCCCCTCCCCCAACTCCACCCTCTCCCAGATCCACCCCCAAAGTTTCCAGGTATTTTCCAACACAGACCTGGCAACCCTACCTAGCAAACAAAGATGGTAGGATGGCAACAGAAGAGATGACATTGCTAACCTGATTGCCAGCTTCATACTCCTGTGGGTAGAAACCATGTCTAGAGAGCCCCATGGATTCCCCAGGAGAATTCAGGTCCCACTAATCGGCCAGTACTCTTCATCCTCTCAAAATTATCTATGATATGTGTTGAGGGAAACAAGCTTTTTTGTAAGAGCAAGGGTGGCATGATGAAGAGGCAGAGACCACCAGAACAGGAAACTCACAGTAACTGCCTAGTGTAAAAGCACTGCAATGGGAAACAGATTTGAGTCACTGTGGGGAAGGCAAGACTTATTTGTGCTTGTCTGCGGCAATAATAATGTCAGAATCAAAAGATGTGGGCAAAAGCAGGATGGAAGCTGAATTTCCCATTCTGCTGAGCCATTCCTAATTACATAGTTATAGAAAGGAGAAAAATAGAGAGGATAGGATCTTGATTCATTCTATAACATGCCTACTTTCTCTGCTCCCCTCAATGAGGGTTAACAAATGTAAGGTGGGCCCTGGGGTTCCCCTGGAATTATAATTGGTTACAAGAGATCAGTTCCCTGGAGCTTTGGAGGGCAAACTCTGGCATCATATCCCCACTGAATCCCCTCCTCAAACTACACGCACCCAAGCACCTCCCTACAAATCTCCAGGAATTTCCCAAGTGGAAAGTGGCAACACTGTGTTCACCTCCGTATGAACCTAGCCATATAGGCCAGGATTGGGGCCAGTTTTATATAAAGGTTGGAATAAGCCGCACATTAATGCTCAAGATAATACAGCGTGTTAACCAAAGAGCGATGAATGGACCAATTATCTTGTTCTTGGTCGCCAGTGATACATCCTTACACTTAAGAATCTTTTCTAGCTCCTTCATGGCTGCCCTTCCCAGTCTCAATCTCCTTCTGTTGTCTTGGTTGCAGTCTCCCTTTCGGTTGATGACTTGGCCAAAGAATAGAAAATCTTGTAACAATTTCAATTTCTTCATTGGCAACCTTAAAGTTGTGCAATTCCCCAGTAGTCATTACTTTTGTATTGATGTTCAGCTGTAATCCTTTTTTAGCACTTTCTGCTTTAACCTTCATTGGGAGCCATTTCAAGTCTTCACTATTTTCTATGGAAAACAAACATAAAATACACAAAGGCTATACCATACAAAGAAAATATATATAAAATGTTCTATAGATGGCATATGACACCAGAAAACTTAGCAAAGTGGTATCCATAACCCAAATATGTCAAATGTATGCTGGAAATGTAAATAAAATGTTGGGTTTTTTTTTCATATGTGGTGGAATCGCCAGATAGCAAAAAAGTATTGGATATGGATACATGAGATATTGCAAAAAATATGGACAAATTAACTTTACAATTACAAGATAAAGAGATTTTGTAAAAATTTTGGACACGCTATGGAAGGCAATCTTTGAGAAGAATTGTGTTAGATCGCGCTAACAAAGGACTCTTAGAGTGATTCAGCAAGTGATTCAGCTTTATTGGAAGTAACGAACAAGCACTCAACTCAGTAAGAAACCAGAACAGAAAACAGTGGGAGCTTATGCTCCTTTTAAACATAACCGGGCTAATGTAGCCACGCCTATTTACAATTAACAACCAATGAGATTGCTTAGTTAAGGACCAATGGGAGTCTTTCCCTCCTAGGGAATGGTATCGTTCTGATTGGTCGCTGTTACGAAGCGACCAATAGGAAGTTCGCTCAGAGGAGCCCTGGTCTGGCTCGAAGCTTAACATAGGAGTCCTATTAGGTGATTCATGTAATCGTTTCAATACATTACAATTCCTCCCCCCTAAGTTAAGTCATCATCCATTTGTTTAATTATTTACATACATTCAAGTCATGCTGTTGTACATCAACTGGTCCAAAATACTTTATTACAATCGTAGTCTTTTAGATAAGTCGGCATCTGCCGCGTACGCTGAGACCTGCGAAGCGGTGCAGGCTCTATGGGCACACAAGGTTGTGAGTCACTGTGGGGTTCACTACAGCCTGCACTCATAGTCCTTCAGATAAGTCGGCATTTGCCGCGAACGCTGGGACCTGCGGAGCGGTGCAGGCTCCATGGGCAGACAAGGTTGTGGGTCAGAGTGGGGTTCACTACAGCCTGGATCAGGCACAGACTCGACTGGGATTTCAGCCCCGCACACAGGGTTCTGCCCTGACTCGGGGACAGTACCGGGCCTTTCGGTACTCACCGCCTGCTCTGGGGGTGTCCACTCGACATCAGGGGATTCAGCCGTCGGAGAGTCAGCGCTGTCCCTAGCCCAACGTCTCCTTAACTGATCTATGTGGCGCCGCCATATTCGACCGTCAGCTAACTGCACCACATACATTCGAGTACCCACAGAGTCGGATATAACCCCAGGAAGCCATAAGTGCCCGTTTGCATAATTTCGTGCGAAAACCTTGTCCCCTTTTTCAAACATGCGCACCTTCGGTTGCGCCGTGGTACGCTCGGATTG